TGCTCTCGCAGTAGCTGTATTTTCGTAACGAAATGCTCGCCAGTAGTTGATTCGTACATCGAATTACTTGTAGACTTGATTTCGTTTACGAAATGCAATGATTTTCGTAACGAAATCAAGTAATGCGACACTTGGCGCGCCGCGCCCGCGCGCGCAAAGTGTAGGCATGATTTCGTTAATTGGAAATAACTCGCTGTAGCTGGGATTCGTCACGAATCACTCGCAGTAGTTGCATGATTTCTAAGAAATGCCTTTCGTAGACGTTGCATTTCGTTTACAAAATCAGTCATGCGACACTTGTCTTCCCATACTTGGAGCAAGCGCAGGATGCATGGCCATATTATATATTGTGGGCATGTGAATTCTGCAGCGCACCAGCCATCAGCGATTATCCCAGCCTGCAGCCATCTTGATCAGTGAAGAGCGATCGAATACTGGTGCTTTCTCCGTCTAACGCCGGTAAGGAACTCGGGCGAAAGCACGGAGAAACAGGACGCCGTTATGCCTAGCGACGAAGGGGACGTTGATCGAGCGAACCAGCCAGCAGCCATCAGCGCCCAGCCGTGTCGGCCTGTGTGACAGAACCGCCCTGCTCGCCTTTGATTCCCGCGTTTATTGATGCCGTTTCCACGTTTGTCGAGCTTTCTTGCTGGCTGCCTGTGACGCGTTCCCACGGCTGGGTGGTGACGGTCACAACCGTCATCCTGCCGTCGCTGGACTTGGCTACGCTGTCAAACCGTTTGTGTCGCGGACGATGCATTCCTCAGCGATCAGCATCTATATTCAGACGCTGACACACTGACTGCCCTGTTCATTCTTCTTGTCTCGTTCATTGCTTACAGTTAGCGATTCAGCCGCGGAATTTACTATAGCGACCGATATCTTAGCTGTGGGCACAGTGACTGCCCCCAGCTAAGAGATCTGATAAAGCAGAGCGAGAGCGAGAGAGAGGGGAGAAAAGAGAGAGCGAGAGAGAGTGTGTGCGTTGCGATGTGTGTGTGTGGGGGTGGGGAGAGGGGATGGGCAGAAAGCAAGAGTGAGATGAGAGTGAGTTGTGTTGGTGTGTGTGTTGCTGTGTGTTGCTGTGTGTGCAGAGAGAGAGGAGGTGACTTGAATAAACATGTGCGCTGCAGCTATACTACGTCCTGATTTTAATCCAATCAAAAAAGTTGCCACGCATATCCTCGTCTTTTATTTTTTAGCCAGGCATGCTTATGTAACGCGGGGGGTACAGGCGGGGGGGGTAGTACGCGGAGAAGGGGGGACGTGAGAGCTGGAGCGGATGAGAGACGAGAAAGAGCGCGGAGCGGGAGCAGGAAGGACGGGGTGCGCCAAAGGCGTCGGAAGCCAATAAAAATAGTTGCCGCGGCTTTTGCCGTGGATAGGCCGAGCCCCGCGGGGAGGCGGAAGGCCACCCTAGGGGGGTCTGGGGCATTGCCCTCCCCCGTGAATTGAAATCTACAGGCAAAGTGGAGTAGACGGGGGAGAAGAGGAATGGTGCCAGAGTTCTGGATCATAACATTTTATAGCTACGGTGACCTGCAGGGGCCGTGTACAGGATTTGGACGGGGGGTTCATAACGTAAGGACATACTTGCCCGAGCACGCGAAGGCGCGGGGGCTGTGGGGGGCCCTCCCCAGATTTTTTGAAATTAGGACCCCTCAAATGCGTTTTCTGCGCGAGCACGGCGGGGGGGGTCCGGACCCCTGGACCCCCCCCCTGTACACGCCCCTGACCTGACCTCATCTGACCCTGCGTCTCGCTTTTTAGGGCGCCCCTTGGAGATACACGTATAACATGATATATTTGTACCGGCAAAAGACTATAATTATTGAATGATTGTGTGTTACAGGAAAAATTTATGGCCTGAAAAAAGTGCCGCGGCGCGTCGCGCCGGGCGGCGGGGCCTGCCGCGGCAAGTTCCGACCCGCGCCTTTAGGGAGGCCAGTGGGCGGTTGCAGGATTTTCATCGCAAAACAAACTATGTATACTATGTTATTACGCCGTTGAACAAGAGCTAGAGAGGGTAGAGAGAGAGAGAGACGAGGAGAGAGAGAGAGAGGAGGGAGAGAGAGAGAGGAGAGAGGGAGATGAGAGGGAGAGAAGGAGAGTGAGAGAGAGGAGAGCGAGGGAAGAAAGAAATAGAAGCGAAGAGAAGAGAGAGAGAGAGTGCAGTAGAGAGAGAAAGAGAGAGAGAGAGAGAGACAGAGGAGACAGAGAGAGAGAAAAGAAACGAGAGCGAGAGAGAGAGAGAGAGGACGGAGCAGAGAGAGAGACGAGAGAGAGAGAGCAGAGAGAAAGAGAAAGAGAGTATACTAAGTATGAGCAAATATAAAAGCAATCCATAGCACCGAGAAATAAATACATGAGAAATAGTTGTTACAGGCATTTAATACAGTTCGATTTAATACGCAAACTGTCAGAGAAACTAAACGTGACATTCAAAAAAAGAAATGCAAAATAGAAAGGATCCTGGAGGTGTTGGGGAGGGAGGAGATAAGAAGACAGGGCGAAGAATGGTGGGAGGAGAGGGGGAGGGATGCGGGAGAGAGGGAGGGAGACGGGTAGAGACAATCCCTGTACCCCCTCTGTAGACGCGTTATGCGTTGTGATATGGCGTGTAACGCTATGCTTCAGGGTGCTTACCTCCCGCGCCAACGAGTTGCAAGCGGAGGAAATGTAATCGCACTCTCGTGCTGGGCTGTGTTATCGTGTGTGTGTTCGTGTGTGTGTTTCGTGTGTGTGTGTAAGCCAGCAGCGAGCCAGCTGTTATACACACGCCTCAACGCATCGATCGATTCAGCACCCAAAAGCTCGCCTTAGGGCGTCATCGTCAGCAGCAGCTCGCCTTTGGGAGTCCAGTCAGCGAGCAGCTCGCCTCTAGGGCGCATCTCCAGTCAGCCAGCAGCCAGCAGCGAGCAGCTGTTATAACACATGCTATCACTGGTTACACGCTCGCGGAGGTATGCACTCTCTTTGAGTGCCCTCTGTCTAGTTTTACTTTGTGCTCACTCTGATGCATAGCACAGCAGCAGCTACGTGATGCACAGTAATGCTACGTGAATCTATTTGAATCTAATTCATGTGAAAGACAGCTGCATGGTCCCCGCTGGATTTCATATATGACTGGTTCAGAGTATGGCTTTCCCACGGAAATTATTAAAATACATTCTTTTTGGTCTAGTTGTGTTTATGTTAAGCTCGAGGGATTGTTAAGAATTTTTATTTAACACTCCCGCTGGTGCACGGCAACAATATTTTTACACATTATTATTATTATTATTATTAAATCTTTATTGCATGAATTCAGATACAAATACATAATTTTACATGTATTGACAACCGTTTTTCTTTCATGGAGAAAAAAATCTGATAAAAGCAATAGTGTTGAGTAGTTAAAATGATAAAATTTCTGACGGATACAGTACAATTACAATGCTATACCACATGAAGAAAAAATATATACAAAAAAAAACTTCAGCAGAGTCTATACAAATATAGTGATTAAGGCGTATTCACTTTTAACGATCATTTTGGCACTCGTTACGTACACCAATTATATACATATTACACAAACATACGCCACACATATACGCACATTTATTTTATATAAATATGGACATACTGATAAATGCCAATAGTGTTGAGCCAGTTAAAGTGATAGATTTTCTGAGTGCATACGCTACAAACAGTGCATAAACAATGTAAGAAAAAATAGAAACCAGAAAAAAACTTCAGCAAATGGTCATGCTACAAGAAAGTAATTAAAGGTACACTTTACATCTTTCTGACACTCATATGTACACCATTTATACATGATGTCATAAAGTACATTACATATTCCATACATATACCCGACACACACACAACACACACACACACACACACACACACACACACACACACACACACACACAGCACACACACACACACACACACACAACAGCACAAAACACTACACACACACATACGCACACACACACACACACACACACACACACACACACAGCACACACACACACACACACACACACACACACTTCATTTAAATATGTTTATCTGGCGTTAAATAGTTACTTAGTTTACTTATTCGCGGCAAATGCAACCCTTGCACAACATTTAGTATTTTCAGTTACCAGTTCGATACCCAGCTACTTATTTCAGATTACAGCTTCGAATTTACCGAGTTCGAATAAATGTGATGGGCCAAGGGCTTAATTGTGGCTGAAATAATGTAAACATAGATAAGCTATTTTGCCTAGTTACCAGTTCCCCAATTCAATAGTTGCATTTCGAACTGGAACTGGTAACTGCTTCTGGGCCTATTAACGTATATGTTCTCTTATTCGAATAAGAACTGCGGAAACTGTAATGCCATTGCACTAGTTATATAGTTCCTTATTCGAATAAGGAACTGGGAACTGGCAACTGCTTTGCCTAGTTACTATAGTTCCTTATTCGAATAAGGAACTGGGAACTGGCAATTAACTGCTTTGCCTAGTTACTAGTTCCTTATTCGAATAAGGAACTGGGAACTGCATGTGGTAAACTGGTAAACGTAGCTCTTGCCTAGTTACTAGTTCCTTATTCGAATAAGGAACTGGGAACTCGGAACTGGGAACTGGTAACTGCTTTGCCTAGTTACTAGTTCCTTATTCGAATAAGGAACTGGGAACTGGGAACTGGGAGCTAACTTAATTCCCTGAGCTTACAAGGGTCCTGTTACTAACATAAAATTTTCTGTCCCGGTATTTTCATTTCTAAATAAAACACTTTGTACACACCCTCTAATCCATTGTTTTTTTCTTCTAATATAAATATATATTCTCTTCTAATATAATATACGGAACCCGCTTAATACGATTATTTTTCTTTGGCCCGTCAGTTTCGTACTAACGGGGTGCGACTGTAATTGTATCTATTTGTGAACAATTTAAAGCTACTAAAGTTTTTAATTATACATATAAACCTATATAAAATACCTTGTACACACCTAGCTTGTAATCCATAATTTTTTCTTTGTTAATTCAGGACTACTATATGTTGAAGTGGTTAATACGAAACCCGCTTAATACAATTATTTTACATTGGCCCGTCAGTTTTCTACGAACAGGGTTTGACTGTAGTAATGAATCTTGGAAAAATGTAGGCAAACGCTTCGCAGTAATGGTTTATATATATATCCTCCGCACGTAGTGTAGCGGAACGTATTGTTTTTGCGCCGTTTGTGTGTTTGTGTTTGTGTGTGTGTGTGGTGTGTGTGTGTGTGTCGTGTGTGTGTGTGTGTTGTGTGTTGTGTGTGTGTGTGGCGTGTGTGTTGTGGTATATGTGCGTGTCGCGTGTGCGTGTGCGTGTGCGTACGTGCTGCGTGTGCCGTGTGCGTGGCGCCGTGCGTGTGCGTGTGTGTGTGTGTGTGTGTGCTGTGTGTGTGTGTGGTGTGTGTGTGTGTGTCTGTCTGTCTGCTCGATATTTTTGCAACCGTTAGAGGTAGAAACTCGGAGGGTGGAACCCTATTGATTTTGAGTGCCTTTCACCAAAAGGTCAAGGGTCACAGGTTCACATTTGATGAATGGATAGATAGATAGATAGATAGATAGATAGATAGATAGATATACTAGCGGGATAGATAGATAGAAAGATAGACGTTGCCCGGGGAAATCAGTGGCGTTACTCAGTTGGTGACCGCTTGGTTGAAAGGAAAATACCCCAAAAAATATAACTATCTATCTATCCATGCATCCATCCATGCATGCATCCATCCATCCCATTCCATGCCATGCCATTCCATCCCATTCCATCGCACCACATCCCATCCCATCCCTTCCCATATCCCATTCCATCCCATCCCATCTCATCGCACCCCATGCCATCCCATGACATCCCATACCATGCCATGCCATGCCATCCTATCAAATTCCTATGCCATGCCATACCATCCCATGCCATGTCATCCCATCCCATCGCACCGCATCCCATCCCATCCCATGCCATGCCATGCCATCCCATGCCATCCCATGCCATGCCATCCCATGCCATCCCATCCCATCCCATCCCAAACAGTAAAAAATAATAAGAAATCAAAAGATAAAATAAATAAAAAATTAAAATAATTAATAAATTAAACTAATAATAAATTAAATATATTAATAAATTAAAAATGAATTAAAAATTAAAAATAATACTTACTAAAGTGGTATAGGTAAGGGAAAAAAAGGAAGAAAAATAAGATCCCCATCTGGGACTCGAACCCGGAATCCCGGTGTAGGAGACGGCCACTAAAACAGGGCATACAACGTGAAGAAAAAAATAAAAACCAGGAAAAAAACTTCAGCAAAGTCGGTACAAGTAAAGTGAAAGACAACATGAAGAAAAAATAGATACCAGAAAAAGAAACTTCAGTAAAGTCTTTACAAGCAAAGTGATTAAGGTACCATTTCGACACTCATACGTACACCATTATATACACATTACATACATAATTTACATATTACATTTACGCACACAGACACACACATTTATATAAATATAGACACATATTTATTCAGAATGCAACATTGTTCTCCTATCTGCTATATGTTGTTTAAATTGTCTTTTTTAACATTTACAATTTTAACAGTAGGCATATAGCCTACCAATTAATTATTGTCAAGTATATAGTCGCGCGGCTGTACAAAACGGCATCTGATGCATGGGTTAAATTATGTAATAGAGTGGCGAAGCAGGTTACAATCCTTTTGCAGCGTTTTTCACAATTCCAAGAAAGAGTTTTGCTGTCGCCCTCATCCCAGCGGTGGTCACCCCTTACATATTCAATAATGAACGCGACCTAAACAATGCCCCCTCCCCCCTGTACATCAATCAATGCCGCGCTGCAAGCGCAAGAATTGTTCTACTAAAAAGAGAATTGTCGTAGTCAGAATGAAGCCTGTACATGTACTCAAAAGTGCCTTAAATACCATCTCCTGTGATCTACATTTTCAACATTTTCTGGGGGCGGACCCCCCTACCCCGTAGAAAGTGTAACAAATTGAGCACCGCCACTTCAAAAATCGTTCCGCGGCGCCTGCCCGTGGGTACTACAATGCAGTGGCGTAGACAGGTCCTCAGTTGTGGGTGGAGGGATGATTTCGCTGTTACTTCCATCACAAAGTATATATACGAAAAATGTGTGCGTGTAGCGAACACCGTGAGCGCGAAGGGTGGGGTCCAGGGGCCCGCCTTAGGGGCCTGGCGGGGTTGCAGGGGCAGAACCCATGGCGGGGGTCCGGAAGCTCTTGCATTTTAGCAATTTAGAACCTTGAAGATGGCCGTTTTTGAGGGAATTGAAAAAAAATTGAAATTGTAAGTGCAATAAAATATTATTTGTGAATTCTAGAATTATTTTTTTCCTTTGGCTCCCAGGGCACGCAACCCCCCCTCCCTTAACTACGTACAGCACTGGAATCATTTCCCCCTGAAATTCCGATAAAACGTATACGTATTTTACTGAGAACGATAAAAAATTTTACAAAAAAGTATGAGAAAAACAACCAGATTTGAACCAAAGTGCATATTTTCACCCCTTATACAAAATCGGGAATATACTTCTGGTCGGGGGACCGGGTATCCGGACAACTACCCCCTGAACAATTCCCACCTGGAACACTACCACCCGGACAAAATAATAATAAATTAATAATATATTATATATATTTATAATAATAAATTCCCATAAAGTAATAAAGTTTGTTTACGCGCGCGCGCCCGCCCGCACGCACACAAGCACGATAATGAGTGGCTGCGTAGCACTTTTTACATATTTAAAAAAAATATTGATTCTAATGGTACTGGCGGTGAGAAGTCTGTAAGATAATGATGATATATCTTTTATCAATGTACAGTCTTAAAATAAATTAAATAAATAAATAAATCATAGGTATCACTATCACGTAACGTGATAGCTCTGAAATAAATGAGTTAATAATCGCCGCATGATGGCGCTGTGTTCTGGTAATATCCGAGAACGAGGCTTAACTGCCCGCTATTTTTAAACTTGTAGTTACGTTCAAAACAGTGAGTTGTATTGTGTGTCAGTGTGTGTTTGTTATCTTATATTATGCTTGCTAGCATGACTATGATTTTAACTGGGATTAATCCATGAAGAATATAAGATCGTCTTAGCAAGATCAACGATATTCTAGTAAGTGACGTAGTCGTTGAATATGTATTAACGAGTTATTAATATTATTAATATTAATGTGTTATCACTGTGACTGTTAATCGTAAACGGTGAAGTAACGACTAACGTAAGGCCCGCTCAGGTCGGTCTACGATTTTACTATCGGCGACTACTTTAGCGCCGATTAGCAGCGTAGCAACACTCATGTCGACTTGAAAGTTGAAGTGACTACTCTGCACATCGCCGATCACATCGTAGCGTTCCTGCATAAAACGTAGACGGGTTCGCGGCTCCAGTATTTGTACTAGCACAAGCAGTTCTTTAGCACAAACAGAGCAAGCTTGACGCCGGGACCAGTCTACATCAAACGAGTCACGTACGTGACCAACAAAATGGCGCTTACCAGTAAACATCATGTAACTTCGTAAATCTATTCTCAATTTTCTGAACATCGTTATAGGCCTAATCATGTGCAGAAATTTTTGTGATATACGGGAACTTAATATATATTTGAGAAAGGGTTTGTGCAATAATCCCTCCTTGTAAACTGCTGACGAGTGGCGTGTAGACTGCCATTTTATTAATCACGTGACTTTTAATAATCATTTGACTCGACACGCTGCGGTGATTGGCTGCCACTCACGATTTGTCGTCGACAGCCGCATAGAAATAGAACATGTTCTATTCCTGCGATCGCAGTCGGCGACCGTATTTTCGATCGTAAGAGAACTCATGTCGAGTTTGGTCGCCGATGTTTTTATCGGCGATCTGGCCGGTTTTTGACGTACGATATTCAAATCTTGTCGGCGACTAGGTCGTAAGGCCGACATAAGCGGGCCTTTAAGTTTAACTTAGGCCACAGGCACTTGGAGCGTTTCAATAAAATATAATGCTAACTAAATACGAAATCTATTTACTACCAAATTCTTAATGTTTCTATACTCTCTTTCACCTATTAGTATTATTGCCGACCGTTTCCTGTAAATTCCGTCCAAATCCTATGTGCAACAAACAGTTCGATACAATGGTCATTAATGTAACCCAACAAAAGTAGGGGTTTACCCTAGCTCTAGTACTATAGCCCGCGTACATTGACTGCCGCAGGGCTATAGCACATTGTCGGCTGGAAATACCAACTACGACCTGTTACCACCTGTCCCCATGAAAAATGGATCGCAAAACGCAAAGTTATCGGGCTTTTTAACACTTATTTATCTACATGGACATCTCACCTATCTTTTTGAACACTTTACACAACTTTACACCATGTATTTATCCTTTTATTCCACAAAGTAAGCACTACTGGCATTTCATTTTGAAACGAAGTGGCGTGCGCACGCGTGACGTTACCGGATATGTACGCAAAACACATGGCAGCTATGGGGCATGTATATACAATACCGGTGACGTCATGCGTACGCACGCCACTTCGTTTCAAAATGAAATGCCAGTAGTGCTCACTTTGTGGAATAAAAGGATAAATACATGGTGTAAAGTTGTGTAAAGTGTTCAAAAAGATAGGTGAGATGTCCATGTAGATAAATAAGTGTTAAAAAGCCCGATAACTTTGCGTTTTGCGATTCATTTTTCATGGGGACAGGTGGTAACAGGTCGTAGTTTGTATTTCCAGCCGACAATGTGCTATAGCCCTGCGGCAGTCAATGTACGCGGGCTATAGTACTAGAGCTAGGGTTTACCCCTACTCTTGTTGGGTTACATTATTGTATCTACAAACAGTGGAACACTGACTGCCGCCATACACCCGTTGACAGTTTAACACTGCGCATGCGCTAAGCTTAAGGTCAAAGGTCGGGAGGAGTTTCCGTCCCAGAAAGCACGAGTAAAATGCGCGAACAATGGCGTTAACGTGTAGTGTGAAGGGCTGCTCAAACGGATCGTATTGGCTTAAGAAAGACTTTTAGAGCATGCATTGACCATAATTTAAATGTATCAAGTGTCATGTCACTCAGGTAATCCATTATTTATCGGTGCTCTATTCCCTGCTACGTGCATTGTTCTTCGACACAAAGGTGAGCGACCTGCGTATGCAAGGCAGATAACGCATCGAGATAAACAACATGCATGGCGGAGTTTACTCGCACATCCGGGCTCTCGCGGAGATGCAAAACTACTGCCGCAGAACTGTCAATGGGTGTATTCCTCTCACGACTGCAGTGTGCACACTGACACATATATAGTATTAATACTATTATTAGTGTAAGCGTGCAACAGTGGAGCCGCGAGAGCAAGGGCCGCCGGCAGCGTATATGGTTGGAACTTGCACGTAGGATTTGGGCGGAATTTACCGGAAACTGTCGGCAATAATAGGTGAAAGAGAGTACAGAAACATTAAGAATTTGGTAGTAAATAGATTTCGTATTTACTAACTTAGTTAGCATTATATTTTATTGAAACGCTTTAAGTGCCTGTGACTTAGGCCTACGGTTCCCTTCGCTCCGCCGCTGCGGCGGGCTTTATTGTATTTTTTCATTTATTTATTTAGGCAATTATCCATCATATACAATACATAGCATACTTTTACAATAAAATTCCGAATTCATAAAATTGAATAACTACCAAGGATATTATTAATAGGACGTGGATATTCGTCCGAGCATCGGACACCTGTTCGTATGCGCTATTTGTCCGAGCAGTTGTTGCGCATGCGCTGTTCATGTTGTATTACATAAATGTAATATATAATGCTAGTCTAGGGAGTCGCCTACTCTCTAACCACAACCACAACACTAACCCATGCCCTAACACTAACTATAAACCGACTCGGATCTCTTATATACTTGAGTCATAGTACCAAACACTATCTATGGTGTATAACCACATACCCATGTAATGCAGGGGCGTCACAGCCGTAGTCCTGCCATAGCAAAATACTCATAGCAATTTAGCATGTTAGACCGTCTAGATTCGGACGAATATCCACGTCGTTATTAAAATATTATACACAAAATTCAAAAAAGCATGACTAGCACACTTATTTACATTGTGGTCCTTGACCTTGTTTTGCTATGCCTTGAATCTAACAATTACACTACTATCAGCACTAACTATTGAAATATACAAATTTGTAGTTTTAACCGGTCATAGTGATACAATGGTACATTCTCATAAGACGATACAAACTTTACTTATGCCTAATTTCAACCCAATTCTTTCTGTGAAAATCATACTCCTCTGCCTCTAATGTTTCTACCATTTCCATCAGACATTTCTTAACACTATACTTAAAACTAGAATAAACAGAATTTGTCCTAACTTGCTGTACGTGGTAGAGAGTTCCAAGCTTCAATTGCAGTATAAGTAAAAGAGTTTCGGCCCACTGCTTCCCACCCTCGGTTTAAAATAGACATATATCACCTTCCCTTGTATTGAAATTATGGACTTTATGGACTAAGTAATTAATTAAATAATTAATTGGATTCGGATCACCACCAAAATGTAATCAATTCTAAATTACCCCATTTCTGACCTATCCTGAATATTTTATGACAATCCGTCCATAACTTTTTCAGTTAGGCTGTACACAAACAAACCCACAAACCAACAAACACACGCCGAACAAACACACGCCGGTGAAAACATAACCTCCTGCCAACCCCTTGGCGGAGGTAACAAACATAAAATAAATGAGATATAAAAAAAAACAGCCAGCTAACATAAATACAAAATAGCAGGCATGACGTTAGATGGATCATCTTTCTGGTGGGATGGATGCGGACAGATCATGCCGGATTGGATGGGTGGGTGGATGGATGGATGCCAGGATGGGTGAGTCGACGGATTGATGGAATTTTTGATGGGAATCAATTAATCAGGCAATAACATATTTGTTAACTAGGTGAATTATATGTTTACCAGATTGTGTCTGCACTACAGCTGAGCTACTGGTGTATAATCCATGATGGATAAAGACAAGCTTAATGCCATTGTGGCATGGGTGAGTAAACTATGTTTAAAACTAAAAGTGACAAAGTAATTCATTTAAATTTGTAGAATGCGTGTTTAGTACCACGTGCACGATTTTTCTTTTGCCTTGGTTGTGTTCTTCAAGCAGCATGACAACCATTATCGTGGTGTGTAGCTATGGGTGGATTGTGTGACGTGATGATCATGATACATGGTTCTAATACACTGCTGTTTACTGTAGGTAAATTTGATGACAAAATGCACAAAGGTACATAGAGTGCAGGAACTGAGCAGTGGTGATGGACTACTAGAAATAATTCAGTTAATGTAAGTGTGCACAGTGATGCAGTTTATATATGCACATTACCTACATTAGATAAAAATAAGTTTTAAAGGCTGGCTTGTCATAAATATTTCAACACAATAAGCTTACTAATTTGACATTCCCAATGCAGTCATACTGTGTTTTCAAAGTTGGATGTATATTTGTCTTTAAACTGAATGAACTGATCAAGTTTACCCATATATTTGGGACTGTTTATAACATGCGTAATTATTATTTGAAACCCTTGGGACTTGTGAATATCACACTGAATGGGGTAAATAAAAACTATAAATAGTATCACAGCTTATTTGTATAGCAATAAAGTGGTAAATGAAGTGGTATAAAGATGGACCATAAAATTACTGGCGTACTTTTGAGCATGGGTCGCGTTGGGTCACGTCAGTTGACGCCAAACGCGAGCTTTGGTGTGCAGATGACCTCCATGAAAAAACTTTCAGTTTTCGGAGCTTTTCGGTTTTCAGAATTTTGGATAATAGATTGTTTACTGTACAACCCCCTTCCCAGGCTTTCGCCATCCATCCATAAATGACATGCCATCTGAAATAACTGCAAATAACCCTGTCTATGTATCTTTTTGCATTTTTTACAGTGATCCCTCTTTTGAGATTGGAAAGATTCAGACAAAGCAGCAGAAGGTCATGTTGGTTAAGCGATTTATTCAGGGTACGATATCAGTCACAAAACGTTTGCATTCTACAAGAAGTTCTATATGCTAATAAGCTAGTCTAAAGAGTAATAAGTTGATTATGTCTAAACAGTATTAGTAAAGCACAAATCACAGAAAAGTAAGTCTGCAAAACACCTGAGCCCTGAAATTAAGGCTTTGCTCGTGAGCGGCGACGTCATGATGACGCGCGTGACGTATTTGCAGTGGCTCTGTATCGCGTAGCTGTGTTGATATGAACTGAGAGCAATAGGTATTCTGCTCTTGTGGTATAAAGTGTTTCACATTGTGTGGTACTGGGTGGCACACTATTCATACAAGTCAAAACAGGTGTTCCTAGCATAGTGTTTTAGCTGACAAGATGTTTGTATGACTGAACTTATGTTACTTTTTGTGTATTGCGAATATAATATTCAAATTTATACGGCTCAAAATTTTCATGAACAATGTCTAAACCGTGATTAACACACTCCACGTCTATCCAAAACAATACGCTTTACAGTGGATCGCCAAGCTGCGGCGTGGCTAGCACGGATACAAATATGTCATGCATGAGTAATCAGTGCCAGGTATTTCTTATCGCAGCGCAGAGATTTCGAATATATATACACCGGTGTAGCAACATTACTGCGTGCTTCTTTTGACAGATCTTTTGATATACTTGAAGAATATAAATATATCCATGTTACATTTAAGTGTGACTGGGTTATTTTGAGGTTTAAAAGCTCGACACAAATAATTTGACCTAACAATTTTTCCCCTGCAGGGTTATGTCAAGCACAACTAGATGACGACTTTAATTTCAATGCAATCGTCAATGACAACAATATGGTTGAAACATGCAAGGTATGTTATTGTAATTTTTGCTATATACTATAGAGCAAGGCTCGACACTAGCGGTGGCCCGGTGGCCCGGGGCCACCAAAACTTGACGTCGGGCCACCAAAATTTCTAAAAGTTAAAATTTGGTGGCCCGAACGGGCCACTCAAATTTCAAAGTGTATGTGATAAAAATAATTGTTTCTTACGTGCTAATCTCATTCAAAAGAGAGCGAGCAATTCGCGGAGCGAGGGCACCCGTACGTACGCACGTGCAGCATTCTACCGCGGGCATACACGGGCGCACGGTTTATCCGTCTACTGCGGCTGCAACAAGCCACGTTATTGTGTTAGACTGGTATCCGGCCTCACGCTCTGCTAGACAATGTACACGCTCTGCGACGAACAGTTCGGCCACGAACCAGTCTAGCCAGAGGTCAAAACCTGAGCGGGCGCAGGCCATAGCATATTTTGCAAGCGCCAGCATACATGTAATTACATTGTATCAAGCGAACCAGACAATGCGGTTCTGGTGAAAATTTGATGCCGTGGAATGGATAATACAAATGTATGCCTCAATCATCAATGTCAGTGTGTGGGGTTTGTTTAAAGACTTGTGCAAGTGCATCAGACGGCCCAATTTTCAAATAATATACAATACGAGATTGAAATAAAGATTTATAATGTTTTTCTTTGTTTTTTTTCGGGCCACCAGATTTCATTTTCGGGCCACCAAAAATTGAAAATCAATGATTTTGGTGGCCCGTTCGGGCCACTGAAAAAAAAAGTTAGTGTCGAGCCTTTTATAGAGTCATGTATGTACAGTATAATATTAATTGTAATATCAAGTGTGATTAATAACAGTGGAGTATAATTACCAAAACAAGGAGACTTACAAATTTATTAGCCTTTCACAATCCAGAGATAAGACTTAAAATTGTACAAGTTTACGATAATTTCTGTCACGTTAGTGCATATAATTTATAGTGTGGCCAATCCCAAATTTAAACGACAGGCTGGACCTTTACAAATACTTACCACACCCTTCACATACCGTGATGAGGTATAATTTGCTGCCGATTGTAATTGGTGCAGAGCTCAGTCACTTTGTGCATTGTTAATGTTACTGTGTTTAATTCACGATTTTTATCTGCAGGTAACGGTTTTACTTCTGCTATGCGGAACCCAATGTGAAGAGAAAGACGTATTTATGGCTTCTCTCTCCTCTGTGCCTATTACACTACAGCTACAGATCCGAGACATTCTAGATTGTCTGTTGAAGCTGGAAATTGTCCAGGTCCCTGGGGCCATATATGGCATCATGTGCCGTAAGATCGGTAAGTTCCCTCTTTATATTATTTAAGCATCCAGCTTTAAATGTTCGGACTAGTAGAGCCGTATAATGACATGCACCTTTTGAATGAGACCTTGCTTCGTCTGCGGCTGCCTGGCACTTCGCCAATGCTTGGCTTATCATTTATGCTCATTGCTACATGTTATGTGATGTTCTGTTGATATATGGCTGTGCCACTTCTTACTGCGCTATATAATTTGTGCTGCAGCATGTTCATGTAGATGCATGAATCACATGTATCATGTGTATAGTCACTAAGTGGTAATGTTTGATTTGATACCTGTGGCAGCAGTTTTGTACTGTCAAACCTATTCGTTATCTTTTCATTTTCTTCCATCGCCAACCATTCCACTGAGGTGTTAATTAGCATGCTGATGTCAACACTTCATTTCCACTTCTTGTACGTGCAGACTCCATTTCTTCCTCCCTCCGTTGCCTGTCAACGTGTTCGCCCGTATTTCAGATCCTTTCAATTGCCATTTGTCTTCTGCTCTATCCGCATGTAATTCAGCATGTTTTGGCAAACCTTGTGTTGTTTTCTAATAGACGTTACTGCCATAAGTAGTAGTGGTTCCGACGTGGTGTCGTTATGTGAAAGCCAGACAGATCATGTGAGCATGGCGTTTAGAAAGAAGTTAGAGCGATGTGCAGCTTTGTCAGCGCCACCGCGCCTTCCTCGCTCGCGCGCCGGAATCGCATACAGCGGTAACTACATTTTCTGGGATCAAAATTGAGGAAATATTGTCACTTTTTCCCGGGAAAAGTAACAGCCAAAAATACAGTGTAACATGGTCAGCAAAGTGCTTGAGCTTGAGAGCTTTGCAAATCGCTTTGCAAGCATGATGTTTCAGAATCTTTTTAAAAGCAATTAATTATATGTTAGACATGTTTGATCTTCACTGGTCATAGTGTGAATCAAACGTTTTTGTGGAGTAGTCATACAACGTATTGGTCGTTGTAATTTTGTAGTTTGGGTGATTTTGTAGATGGTAGGCCTACATATATACCAATTATACGTCGTTCTCTCGAGATTTTTTTTAACCAAATTCATTCAGTTTTAAATTTTATTGAATTTTTCATGTGATGGTTAAAATTCAAATCTTACAGTTAATTTGCCATAGTAAGTGAAAGGCTATCAATTGATGCTGAGTTAATAGTAGGATGGTTTACTAAATTGGCTGCATATATGTAATGAATAACTGAAACTGAAAGTATGCAATACAAAAATGTATTTGGATAATATTAATAAAATAGTGATATATACATGAAACTTGGGTGGGTATACTCATAGCATTGTATCTTGGTTTAATGCTGATTAGCTGCCTCTGTTCGTACCTGTAGTAGAACCTGCCCACAGCTCTTGTGATAGCATGAACTCTCCTCCATTGTCTACAAGAATTGTTACTGGTGAGCTCATCAATGCTATACTTATTCTCTCTTATAGTAAACCTCTTGTTATGGTTTAGCTTTTATTCATACTGCAGTGACTACTTAATAAAATTTATAGATGTACATACGAATGTTGCACGTGCATGTCCTTTTGTATTTCAATAAATTTTAAAACCTATTTCAAACACTAAATGAAGTTAAAACACCTTCAAAATATTTATTTAAAATGCTGCAAAATCTTGTTGCTGGTTTATCATATAGTATAACGCTGGCAAAACAGCAGGCAGGATGCATAACCTATCTTGCCTATGTTTAAAATTAACAAGAAAAGTGTCTATATGTATAACAGGTTTCAACGTTTTGGTATAGAAGCCACATTCCTAATCGGTACATTTCATCCTGGTAGCCTTGCCACTCAATCTGAGTCTGTCGCCATCGTCTCCAGTTGAATCGGACAAGAGCCAGTGTCATCGGCCCTCCATGACTGAAGTGTTCTCCAACAGTCCACTTTCTCCACACAGGGCTCTTCTTCAGAGCCCGCAAGTGGTGCACAAGGTGTTTACAATGATATTATCATTATTATATTATACGTGGCTGGTGGCATCATAACTTAATCAAATTTTGTTTAAAACTGGGGTTGGTCACACTGACATACATTCTTTCTTGATTAAGGGGGGATTTCGATAACCGTGTTGTACATTTGATACCCCGTACAGACTGCAAAATTTGATCCTACATGAAACTAGTCTGAGCCAATCATGCATCAACTCGTAGCGTACAGACACAAAATTTGATCCTACATCAAATGAGTCGCGGGTTGACTGCATGCTCAGTTCAGCTCGCTACGTCACCTCGCAGACGGCTACTGTACTTTTATGTCACCTAAATAAGGCTATGCACATGCGTAAATTACGAAATAGCACCGGATTTGGCCCGCGTGTTGCTTACAGACAAAGCTTGGAGCGGGATAACTTATCCCGGGCCTGGCCCTCTTTCATTTGCGGGGCGAAATTGCTGCGGGCCAGCGCATATTTGGAGTGGGATAGCGTGTACACACTGCAAAAATTTGACGTGCGTCTGGTGGCCCGGACCAGTTTCATGTAGGATCAAATTTGCAGTCTGTATGGGGTATTAGTCTAAATATGTGTATTGTGATTAGGCATGGGATAAATTAGTTAGAAACGAGGCTGATTTAATGTTTAGGGTAACTTAATTGGTTTGACAGGAGTTTGTAATATAAGGTAATAATAATAATATCTATATGAAGGGCTTCTGGTAATACTGATATTATTATCATATCATGTGATTATTATAATAATGAATAAGTGATGTTTCTACCCTGTTCTAGTTTGTGTTGCATCAGAAAGAATGTATGATCAAAAAGCTGCAAGCTAGCCTCCAGGAAGAGACTCTGTGCAAAGAAAATTTGCAGTTGGACATTCTTGAAATGAAGACCACTATTAAAGCATATGGTAGGCAGCACATGTACTACTTAGCTGTGTATGATAACCACTTGAATTCAAATGGGTTGGCCATTAGCATGTGTGTTTGCCTGTACTAGTAAGCCAAAACGTATGAGAAAGCATTGTTCATTGTGGCAGCTATTTTTTCATAGGTTTCTACGTTACTTATGTCACTAAACTGTAGTTACAATTCAGATTTTGTAATATTTTACACAGGTCTCAGAGCCAATGAGCAGCAACATAAAATCGACAGGTACAAAAGCTTGCAGTCACGTGTTAATCAGTTGGAGGCTGCTCTGCATGGTCATGATAACTGCCAGGGCAAAATTCACAGGTATGTGTCTATGTGCATGTATTCGTATTTGCATATTACATCTTAGTAAGTATAAATAATATTTGTGCCGATCAAGTCCTATAATACTGTGCAGAAATTCACTCTTTTTTGCACTTTAACCAGTCTCCAAGAAGAACTGAATCTGTTGAAGGGAGCAGCAGAAGAAAGAGATAAGTTGATTCAAGAGAACGAGCCACTCTGGACTGAGATAGCTGAGCTAGATAGTCAGGTACGTATTTAACATGTGGATATGTAATTCCTACCAGTCAATAAATAACCCGTATACATTGCTTGCTGATGCTTATCTAGTCGTTGTTGCAATGTTGTATAGAGAAAACTGGCACAGGAAATGGAGTCCGAGAAATGCCACTTGGAAGGTAAAATCTCTGTAATGGAACAGCAAGCTGAAGTCCTGCAACAACAGCTGAAACAGGCTCTTTGCCTCAATGGTACGTTTTGTTCTCACACATAATTTCAGTTACTCATAAAAATGTCTTTTAATGCAGTGTATGGGAAAACATAAAAATGCCATGAACAATGAGCAGTTTATGAGCATTTCTTAACTTGTGCTCTTCCCTGCCATCATTCACCTGTAAAATGTGTTGAATTGCATCCTACTAGTGCATGTAGTGAGGAATTATGCTTGTATACATAACAACTGAAAAGGATCGTGAGAAATTGCAAAAGGTCTTGAATCAGTCGTTAGTCAGATCACTTTCCTGTGAGATTGGAAACCTCCTTTGTGAGGCTACGTTTATATACACCACAGCTATAGTAAGGTCTCCTTAAAGTTGCAAAACCTCGTAGCTAATATAAATGCATATAATATAACTACCGTGAGCTTGTATATGTTGCAAAAATTCACTACAACTCATTTGTATTTCTACTTTCATAACATTTCTTCTCAAAATCTAAACGAAATTACTTCTCTTACGAACGTAGCGCCACAGTGATGTTTACACATCAGGGACACAGCGGAGCGATCAGCTCGATTCATTAACAGTTCCTTTCTATGATAAAACAAGAATATAATTCAACAATTATAATTCATTATTCGATGTTTATTTAGTACAAAATTGTGAAATTTGTTCAAATCATATCGTTATCTATATTACTGATGCAATCAGGAAACAAATATAGTGTTTTCGTTCCAGGAACTATTTGCACTAGCGTAGGGCTACTGCTAGCTGTGTAACAAAACCGCGTCGGACGCGATTTTGAAAATCCCAATGCTTGTAGCACTTCTCTGGCTCAGGCCACAATTAAAAAATCTTAGTTTGCCCTCACCCGACCCAGGCTGAAAAGTTTGGGTAGGTAGGTCGGCTTTTTTTTTGAGGGCAGGGGTCTTTTTACAAATTTAGCATGGTGTCTACATGCTCGGGTGTGCTTGTGTGGAGATACCATTTATGTTGAATGTTTGTTTTGCTTGGTACATATATTTATGCCTACAGATTTATATAATGTACAGTGATACAATTTGTTTAAAAAAAAAGAGAAAAAAGATCAATAAAATTGTTTGAGTCGGCCCATTTTTGGCGAGTCGGTCGGGTGAGGGCAAACAAACAACATTTTTATTATGGCCTCAATGAGAACATTTTGTGATATTTGTACACTGCAAGTATGCTCATGCACAGTAGGTTTATATAGGCTTTTTGTTGTGAGGTTTATCCATTTTAAGAATCGTGTTAACCCGGTTGTTTTAGGTGCGCTTCAGTCAGATTTGAAGCAGGCAGGGGAAGAGAAGGAGGCTATGGCTGAGCTGTTTAGAGCAAAGATACACGAACTCAATAACTCTTATGACGGTATGTATACTACTTGGCTGTTTATTCTGCCTTGGATTTTCACTGTGTGCTCTCTACGTGACATAGGTAGACAATGGATGCACCTTAATTGTGCTACTAACTGAACCATAACTGTTGTGTAAGGGCCCTTGGCAGAACAAAGTATCCTAACAAACTAAACGGTCTGTCCCAATGCAGTCCATGCTGCACGTAGATATGTAGTGCTCAGTGAGTAGCTAGCTATTCAGCTAGCTATTGTAAATTGAGAAGCGATTGATGTCGATTATATGACCTAATAAAAAATGATGCGATCTAGTGGAATATTATATTAATTTCAGATATGATGCTGTCACGAGGAGAGAACTTGGGATCGGTTATTGACAAGGAGTTACAGGAGCAACGAGAGCTATACAAGTAAACTACATTTTATGTTGTCTTGAACACGTCTACTAAGTATAGCATCTTCCCTCATCCTTCTATATGTTCTTCAACTTTCTAATGCAACTTTATGAAACTCATCCGACTTTCCAAACTAATATTATCGTAGCAGTTGTAACAGACCAGTGCATTTCGGTTACACCAGTGGAGCATTCAGTCTCCTGATGTCAGGAAGCATTCTGATTTCTCCGTGCCTGTTTAGCTAAAATATAGAAAATGCATCAACAAACTTCATGCATTCTTCAGCAAAGTTTCCTAAAAAAATTATCACATTTAAAGATTAAAAAGTTTAGGCATTGGCCTTTGTTAATGTTTAAAGCTATATGCTTCTATATAGTATCAGAAGTGAATTATAATAGAGCAGTATTACTTGCTCAAAACACAAGAAATTCAACATTTCCATGCCCATGATTATTACAATACCTATGATTTAAATGTAAATCAATAAAACCACGTCTGACATTCGAAGCTATATAACTAGTACGTAATAAGAAGAGGTATCGATACACAGTAAAGTGCGAGGACAAGTTGGATGTACAGTGCTAGTTCTGATGTCATTATTATTAGATTTAACTTAGTAAATCATAGGTAAATTTGGGCATGGAAATGTTGAATTTCTTGTGTTTTGAGCGAGTCATACTGCTCTATTATAATTCACTCCTGATAATATGTGTATTGATGTTTCGTTTAGCTGTCTTCAGTCCACAAACAGACAGTCTGAGATGGAATTCCAGAAGAAAATAGAAGTATTCGAAGCCGATAAGCAGAACATGCTAGATCGATGCAGACAACTGGAGAAGCAGAGGATGACATCCGAAACTTATAAGGTAGAGATGGAGCAACAATTGGCAGCACTGGCTGCTAACCATGAAGAAGCAGTAACCTGTCTAAAGGCTGATTACACAAAACAACTGGAAGAGCAGAGGATAACATCAGAAACTTATAAGGTAGAGATGGAGCAGCAGTTACAAGAACGTGAAAACCAGATGGCAGCACTGGTTGCTAACCACGAGGAGGCAGTATCTTGTCTAAATGCTGATTACACAAAACAACTGGAGGACCAGAGAGTGACATCAGAAAACTGTAAGGTAGAGATGGAGCAAGAAATTTACTGCTTCTTCATGGTTAGCAGCCAGTGCTGCCAATTGTTGCTCCATCTCTACCTTATAAGTTTCTGATGTTGCCTGCTGCTCCTGCAGTTGTTTTGTGTAATCAGCCTTTAGACTGGTTACTGCTTCTTCGTGGTTAGCAACCAGTGCTGCCATCTGGTTTTCACGCTCTTGTAACTGTTGCTCCATCTCTACCTTATAGGTTTCTGATGTCACCCTCTGCTCCTGCCTGTCTAAAGGCTGATTACACAAAACAACTGGAAGAGCAGAGGGTAACATCAGAAACTTATAAGGCTGAGATGGACCAGCAGTTACAAGAGCGTGAAAACCAGATGGCAGCACTGGCTGCTAACCACGAGGAGGCAGTAACCAGTCTAAATGCCGATTACACAAAACAACTGGAGGACCAGAGGGTGACATCAGAAACCTATAAGGTAGAGATGGAGCAAGAAATGGCAGCACTGGCTGCTAACCATGAGGAGGCAGTAACCTGTCTAAAGGCTGATTACTTGAAACAACTGGAAGATCAGAGGTTAACATCCGAAACTTATAATGTAGAAATAGAACAACAAATGGCAGCACTGGCTGCTAATCACGAGGAGGCAGTAACCTCTCTAAATGCCGATTACACGACACAACTGGAAGATCAGAGGGTGACATCCGAAACTTATAAGGTAGAGATGGAGCAACAGTTA